GGCCCCCCGGCCTCTGCTGCGCCCAGCCTGGACTTCAGGCCCTGCCAGTGGAGGCGCCGGGCAGACTAAGAGTAAGCAAGGGGATTGACCCAGGCTCCAAATTCCCGGTTCCTTGGCACTCTAGTGCCAGATATGGTGGAGGCTCTCGGGGGCCTCGCTCCGGTGCCCCAACCCAGGGCAGATTCTTGCAACTCGGTTCCCGGAGTCCTGGCTGGCCCTGGTCCACTGTCGGGTTGGAGACGGAGCTGGCAGTGACCCGGATTGAAGTACGAGCCCCTCCTCGTGTGTGTGCTGGCGATGCTCCCCGTCAGCTGGGAAGACTTCCACGTTCCCGCGTCTGTCCGTGAGCAGGCACCTGCTCACACGTCACCGTGTCCTGAGTCACCCTCGCCGTCACCACTACTGCTCCTTCCATCCCCGTGGGTGCCGGGAGCGTGTGCTCCAGCAGGACCTCAGGTCTCTGTTCTGAGCTGTTGTTGCTGCTCCTCCCTGTGGGAGCAAGTGTTCTTCCAAGCGTTCTGCCCTCCAGCCTGCGCTTCTAAACACACCTCCTGCTCCTCTTCTTCGCAGGCTGCAGCTTTCGATATCGCCATGATTAAAATGGTGGCCCCGTCCGTGGCCTGCCGCGTGATTGATCGCGCCATTCAGGTGAGCACTGGGAGCGCCGGTTTGTTTGAACCAGTTACAACAGGTGCAAAACTCCCTCGCCTTCAGCTGCCCAACCTCCTGTAGACTCTAACAGCCGCCCTGTGTCGCACACTCACCAGGCGTGTGACTTCTTTTCCTCCTCAGAACAACTCTACGAAGGGGCCCCGTTCCTACCCCCATTTTGAATGTGAGGAAACAGAGGCACAGAGAAGTGAAGTGACTTGTCCAAGGTCACTCAGCTTGCAAGCAGCTGATTTCAGATTTATGGGAACCTAGGCCCTTATTACACCAGAGCCCAGCCTCCTGACTGTGCAGGCATGCTGCCTTCTTAATCTTTTTTTTTTGTGTGTGAGGAAGATCAGCCCTGAGCTAACATCCATGCTCACAAATCCTCGAGACTCCTGAGTCACCCCTCAAGTTAAACAGGAAAAACAGCAAATTGGTTTAATATCTACAAGTACCCCTCAGATACCCAGCTTCAAATGCAGAGTGTGAGTCAGTTGGTCTGCCTTTCTAACACACTCGCAGCCCAGGCTGCTTGTTTGGGGGCCCCATTTGGGGAAGCAAGGCTGAGGAGAATGGCTAGACTCCCTCACCCAATCACCTGCGAGGGAGGGGGGAACCACCTGGGTGCAATGACAGCTACTAGGTATCCAGTCCATGCTAGGTGCCAGAACTATACAGATATATTATTTTGAATCCTTACAGCAACTGGCAGATACTTTTTTCTGCCCATTTTAGAGGTGAGGAGACTGAGGTTCAAAGAGGTTCCATGACTCGCTTAAGATCACACAGCTGATTGGTGAATTCAAACCTAAATTCAGAGACTGCAGAGCTCTTTCTACTCTGAGGCACGGATGCTAGGATCTCTAAGGGCCTTCCTGAGACGCACAGGCTGCCTCACCTGGGAAAGGAGGAGGAGGAAAAAGAAGCCCCATCTGGCCAAGGAGAGCAGGCCCTGCCACGAAGAAAGTACGTGAGTTCCTCCTGATGACTCTGTTTCCAAAGCCAGGGAGGCTCGGGAGTACTTCCCCACTACCCCCAGGGGGTGGCCGGTGTGTCTGCCCAGGGGTCTGGCTGCACATGGGGCGTGGTGAGCCAAGTGTGTCACAAGTTCCTGTGTGTGCAAATGAGGAGAGCAGCCTGGGCACAGGGCTGGAACACACTGTTCGTCCTGCTTCTGAGGGAGAATGTCATCCTGTTTACACGTTGCTTTGAATTACCCACATCCATTGTTTGCGGGGGGGAAAAAAAGGAAAAAAGCTTCCATTAGATAGCGTCAGGGTTCTAGAATGGGGCCTAAATAACCGGATATCTAAAATCTTACCATTCAGGGACCCTGAAGGATACCTCAGTCACCACCTCTTTTAGAGAGCAGGTGGAACTAGATTTTTTTCAACCTGAAAACACACAATTGGGCTTTCACAATGAAATGTTTGGGAGTAAGAATTTGTATATCTTCCTAGAGGAAGTGAAGTGACTATTTCTTATTCACCTCGGTGCTTCTCCCAATGATCTCAGCATGGTGGAAATGAAGCACGCAAGCAGCCATTGATGACTGAGCATCTAGTAATTATGGGGGACTGGAATTTGCCAACTCAAAATGTATGTCTCGGCCTGAATGCCGTTTTGACCCCCACCCCCACTAACTGACCAAAGGAGTCTGGGATGGGAGGCCTGCCCCCAGAAAAGGCCATTACTATAGACCTCTCCCAGTATCTGGGTGGGTCGTGCTAAACCCATTCTTAGTTCTGGTTATCCTTTATGAGATACATTTACATTTGTAAAGAAAATCTCCATTTGTAAAGGTATCTTCTTCCCTGCACCAGGAAGAAGGTGGGATGGCCTTATCTAGAAACTTGG